GTCGAGGAGAAGACGAAGAAGAAGAAGGGAAACAAACGTCAGAAAGATGATGACGATGAGGAGCCGGACTCCGCTGATGATGGTCAAAATGCTGCTTCTGGCAAGGTGTTCTCGGCGAAAGCCTTGAAACGCTTGAAAGCCAAACTACGCAAGCAGACCGAAGCGAGTGTCTTGGCTGCCCATGGCCTGCCCCCGAAAGCTAACGCCAAGGGCGGAAGTGGCCAGAAAGGCGGTAAGACTGGTCGGAACCAGAGCACTCCCTACAACACTGTGACCAAACCCAAACGCTGGATCTGTGGCAAGGAAAACCATAAGGCGGACCGTTGCCGCTGGAATCCTAACAATCAAGGGAAAGGTCAGTGGGGTGGTGCCTGGGGAAACCAGCAGCCGCAGTGGTGTCCGCCGGTGAACCAGAATCAGACGAACAACCAGAATCAAGGGCCGGGAGCCGGTGGAAACAAGGGTGGTTGGGTCTGGCAAGGACCAGCCTGACCAGATGAAGGAGGAGTATTTATCTCGGAGTATGGTAGCTGTATGCTAAATTTCGAGAATTTAGAAGATTTCGATGTAGATTCTTCTAGCTGTTTTATTGCACAGACCAAGGACGAAGTGAGCTTGGTCGATTCATGTGCAAACAAATATCTATCACGTCAGAAGTCAGATTTTATTGACATCTCGAGCAACGTCTGTCGCATCAATGGCACGGCCGGGGCTCGTGATGGTTTTGTCGGAAAACTGAAGGAAAACGCTTTAGGTTTAGGCTTACCCTACGGCGTCTACTTTAAGCATCTTCCTAGAGATATTGATCGCATTCTTCCGTGGCTCGGTGAGGACAATCTCAGTGATCGTGGGTGGGATCTGAACTGCAACAGCTCTGGCGGTTCCTTAGTCAACAGGGAATCCGGTCAGATGCTACCAATCAAGAACCACGAGAGGTTGAACCTCCCAGTCCTTGGGTGTGATCTTTTCGTGATGGGCCTCCGGGGTCAGGCGACTAGTGACACCGCGGAAGACATTGCATGCATTACAATCGAAGAAAGTATTGCTAGTTGTCACCTTACGCGTTTAGAACAACATAGAAGATTCGGACACTTTCACGTAGATGGTCTTAATGTCCAGTGTCCTGAATGCGATAAAGCGAAAGCCGCAAGAAGCTCTCACGCAAAGGAGCGAGACACTAGTAATTACAAACCTGAACCATTGAAACTACTTGCGATGGACTTCGCGGTAGGTATTAAACCTGTATCGATTCGGTCACGCACCTGCGTGCTAGTGGTCATCTGTGACGCCATCAAGAAGTGTTTCTGTGTCCCTCTTAAGCTGAAAAGTGACTGCGTTGAGGTTTTGGAAGAAGTAATAAAAGGCATTCGCCAGAGCTACGCTTTGACCCTCGAGGACAAAGCGGCGTGGTTCGTCCGTCGGGACAATGAGCCAGTTCTGGGCAGTGACTCCATGACCAAGGTCATGCAATCGCTGCGGGTCGGTGATGCTCCTACGGTTCCCTACAACCCAGAGCAGAACGGAACCTGCGAGCGCTTTATGCGGACCATATTCGGCGCTGTGCGTGCGATGTTGGTGAACGTGGACAAGCGTCTGTGGTGCTACTCGGTCGAGTACGCTGCAGCATGCTGGGACCGCCTTCCGCATAAGTATAGCAAGATGCCTGAGTACGACGGAAAGACTCCTGCAGAAATTCTAGATGAGAGAACTGGAAGAAACAGTTCGAAAGTTGGCGCAAGGATGCTGAGGCGTTTTGGTTGTCTCGTTTATTTTCGTGAACAAGTCAAGAAAGGCGAAGCTCATGAAGCTCCTGAGGGGGGAGTAAATGTGGTAGCTCCAAAGCTGGCCGCGCCATTTCGTCGTGGTGTATTTCTCGGCCTTTGTCCAAAGTCTTCGGGCTGATGTCACGGATGGCCGGTCCGCCGCGGGACATCGTTGGATGGAATATTCTACCATCGACGTCAAGTTCCGTGAGGAGTACCTCGCGAGGAATATTTATTGAAGACCTAGTTGGTTCCTAACTCTAAAGGTATCTATGTCGAGTGTGACGCAATCGAGGCCCTACCTAGTGGAGCGTCGTGCGCGCCATCTCTCCCGTGTGTCGGTCTGTCTGATAAAAAGGGCTGAGCACCGGCTGGGGGTGGATGTCTCGGAGCACACTGGTAGGCAGCCTGACGGTCCTGCAGAGACGCTGGTGGCTGAAAGTTTGGATAGGGAAGATGATCCGGACCAGATACATCCCGAGCCTGAAGGTGTTAAACCTGAGGAGGGGAATCTGGACGATCACCCCACTCACAGCAGCTTATCGAGTCCAAGAAAGGCGAGCCCGTCTCCGGCAAGGATTGTGGCCGGCAACCGCAACTCCAAGCCGCGAGGTCGTGGCCGTCCCAAAGGGAGAAAGGACAAGAAAAAGCGCGCGAGACGTACTAAGAAAGAGCTCGCAGAATTGAGAGAGGACGCTAGTGCCTTTGCCGCAGCAATAGCAGCGCAGGATGATCGAGAGGAAGGCGAGGAATTCCTTGGCGTCCAGTGTTACTTGACTACATCGGCCAAGTTGGACCCAGCTCGTTGCAAAGACTCAGTCGAATGGAACGCAGCAACCAACAAGGAAGATTGTAGACTTGAAGCCTATAAAGTGCGGGAGCCAGCTACTGAAGAGGAGCTAGCGACCGCAAAGCAGGTTTTGCCTATTGCTGTCCTTCTTACCGAGAAGCGTGACGGTACGAAGAAAGCGCGAGCAGTAGTTCTCGGCAATCTAGATCGTTCGGGCGAGCTGGACACTTTCGCTCCTGTTGTGTCCCATGCCGCTAACAGGTTACTTCTAGCCGCTGCAGCCGCAGACGGTGATGATGTAATCCCGTTCGACCTTGATAGTGCGTTTCTCAATGCCTTACTTGATCGCGACGCCTTCTGCCGCTTGCCACCCATCTGGGCGAAGAAGCACGGCGTGGAGATTGTCAAGCTCAAGAAAGCGCTTTACGGCTTGAAAGACGCCCCCAGGCTCTGGCATAAGAAGTATGAGGAAGCACTGACCAAGCTAGGTTGGGAACCCTGTCCCCCTGCGCCAGGTCTGTGGAAGAAACCGAGCATGGAATTCCCTGGGAAGTTTCTGAAGTTGGCAGTGTATGTCGACGATAATCTTATCACAGGTCCTCCGACTGGGTCCGAGTTGGCTGGAGAACTTGCGGAGATCTTGCACCACGTCAAGGGGCGCATGATCGACGTCGAGCTTGTTCCGGAGTTTAACTCCGTGTCCAAGAAGTTCGACTTCCTAGGGTCAATAGTGTGCTACAACTGGAATCTACGAACCGTTAGGATCGTGATGACAGAGTACATATCCAAGATTTGTAAGAAATTCCACGTCTCAGAAGCGGGCAAGCCGGTCCACTCGCCAAACTTCGATGAGTCTGAACTCGCTAAAGAAGTTGAAGGAGCTAAAGTTATTGAAGGTTTTCCCCTTCGAGAGGTCGTTGGCTCTCTGCAGTGGGCTGCAACCACTTGCAGGGTAGACATTGTTGTCCCGGTTGCCACTGTCGCCAGATATGTGGGCAAGCCGGCGACTCGACCTGTCGCAAACGCCTGTAAGAAGATTTTGAAGTATCTAAGGACAACGAAAGAGCAGGGTCTGTCGTATAGTCCGGAAATTGAGGAGGAATTCAACAGAATCTACAGCAAGCTACTGCCCGAAGGGAGAGACTTGCCTGATGTGAATCTGTTTTCGGATGCTAGTTTTGCGAACTGTTGCAAGACCATGCGAAGCACTAGTGGTAGCATTATGTACTTCCGCGGCTTCCCGATCTGTTGGCGTAGCAACCGGCAGACCGTGAGGGCGTACTCCACGGCGGAGGCGGAGTATATAGCTGCTTCCGACACTATTGTGCTGAGCGAGCAGAATGACTTTACAGAGTTCTTCAAACCTCTGCCCACTGTCATGGTGGAAAAGCAGAATGGCTTATCTCCCTCCCTGGATGATGCCATATTGTGGATCGACAACCAGTCCGCGATAACTACAGCTAAGAGCACAGACAACAAACCGGAATCGAGGCACTACGCACTGCGATATCTCCGCGTGAGAGACGCAGCGAGCCAGATTATGTTCTGCCCGACCTATGAGATTTCTGACTCCTTTGACCAAATGAGTCAGTACACGAATAGGATTCCAGTAATGCTATCTTGATTCCCTTGATTGATCCAGATCTTCTTGTAATCGTACTTCCGGAACACAAAAACGCAATCAGGCGTAAAGAAATTCTAGCCTGCACGGCAAAGTCGTGCAGGGATTCGCTCTTTCAATTGATTCCAGAATTCACGCGCAAGCGTAGCATATTTATCGTGCAATATTGTGGCAAAAGCCTTACAGCCGCTGGTGATTTCAATCCCAGCAGCAGAGTAGCGCCCGGAGCTCCCTGGATCTCAGATCCAGGGACGGGCTTTCGAGGGCTCCCCCTCTTTCTTCACTGCCCCGGCCATCGCAGTGAAGCGTCTCGAACTTCCTTTCTCAATCATCGAGCCCGATGGGAGGTTTGGCACAGTAGCATGCGCATCTCTTAGCTACGCTCTTTTCTAGCAGCGGGTGCTCCTGTCTCGCCCATCGCCGGGCGCCACCAGGAGGAAAGCCGTCCAGTGGATCTTACGAACTGGCAGGGCCTGTGAGGTGCCGGCTTTCGGGAACTCCGTCGGGCACGAACTGAATCGGCTGGGCTTGTCAGCGAAGCGGACCACCCACAGGATGCACAGAGCAACCGCCTTTCAGCTAGCCTAGGACTAAAGTAACCGATCGCCCACGACCCTGAGCAGCTTACCCTAGAAGCTTAAGCCTACAGGCACTGCTCCCGCACTTCGCTTTCCTGCGCGACAGCTACGGGCTCCTTGGCGTAGTCCCTCGTTGGGGAACTCGACATCGCGAAGCCCCGATGTCGAGCCGAATGCGATAGATGCTTGCAGCACAGCAAGGAACCAGGCGCACACGGAATGAGGGAGCTGGTCTCCCCAACGGGAGCCAGTACTCCAGAGCAACGTGTCCCCTATCGAAGAACGACCGGAGAGCGCGTTCCCGGCTCTCACGTTTGTGACCTGTTGCTGTATGCGCATGCGCCAGTAAACTAACGCACGCTATTGCCGCGGAGCATCTCCGTGCCTCCTCTGTTCATCATAGCCCCGTCCTCGCTATGATGCGTCTCGAGCGTCCGTTCTCACATCCTCGAGCCCGATTAAAAGACAAATGCTGCTTGCTGTCTTGTCAGCAACGATGCTTGAGGAACAGTCTTCACAAGCACCGCACAACACACACGTGCGCACAGCACGAATGAACAGAAGCCAGCGAGATTGTAGTGGGACTACACCTCGCTGCAGTTATGTACTCTACGGTGGCCCCGCTGTATCACCGTACGATCCGGAGGAATAGTTTTCTTGGGGATACCCGGGGTATAAGCATGATACATTCCAGGGCGGATTGACGCTTAAGCCGCACCGTTACCCCTGAGCCGTAGAACCCGAACGGCAGAATCCCTGCCTTGTCCTCTTCTGTTCGGGTCCACGAACTCCGTTCGTTCGTGCCGCCGAATGGTATCTTTTACTGCTTGTGTTTGGGTTTGCGTCAGCAGGGTTCGATGGCGCGCGTGCTGTTGCGTCGTCCTCTTGCATGTTGTTCTTCATTGCTGGATCGCTAGCTCTAGCATGGATCTTCTGTTGGCTTGTTGAGCCTTCCGCGCGCCCTCGCTCCACCGCGGCTTCACCAAGAAACTCCTGAATGATGTCGGTACTCTGCTCCGCATCCTCGCTGCGCGCGCTCTCCGCCTGCACATGATGAGTGATTGTGCCCTGTTCTCGCGCTGAAGTTGGTGGCACTCTCAGTGTCGAGCGCAGAATTATGTTTTCGATGTAAAGCTTTGGGTCCAGGAGCGGCGACCGTGGCGCTTTTGTCGTTCTGCTATTAATGTGGTCGTGGTCATAATCGCCGAGCATGTGAGTCCTCTTAGCGTTGCTGGAGAACAAGGGCTTCCTGCTGATAGCCATACTACCGGGCGCAACACTCCCAGCGAGCTCACAACCCGGACCATCCATTGTTCCAAGTGTTCCACACGAAACTTGCGGTCCGGGTGGAGCGACATTTTCGAGATATGGTTCCAGGTCATTTTCATGCCTCTTTAGCTCTCTCATCAGGGACTCCCAACCGCCCTGCGCGCCTGCGCCTGCGTTTGCTGCGGAGACCTGGCGCAGCCCTTGTTGTTGGGGGCAAGCCTTCTTGAAGCAGGTATTCGTCCGTGACGCGTTGTCACCTACTACATGACTTTCAACGGGCGACGCCGAAGGTGGTTCGCGGGAGGCGTTTCTCGTGTGATCGGTTTGGTCTTCCTCGCGATACTCGTTCCGTGCTGCAAGTGCTAGCCGCCCCGGAGATGGAGGAAAAAGTGTTGTTTGCGGAATTATTGTGTCCTCACGACCGGCTGGAAGATTTTGCGCCAGCGATCCTTCAAGTTGTACCGAGACCGTACCCGCAGGTTGGACGCAGCTACCAGACGAGCCAGAAGGACAAATACCTGCTCCTGTTGCCCTAGTGTTCGTCTTCGACGAAGCGTTTGAAGGTGGGTACTCGATCGTGTCTGAGCCATCCGCTGCAGCTGCTTCTTCCTGTTCCTCTAGTGCACAGGCTGAGACGGGGGGCTGCGGCTGCTCTCTCTCTAGTCCCGCTTGTTGCGAGCAGTTCCGTGTTGTACGCGATTCGCTACTAGATGGAGGCGCATCTTCCAGCGAACCAGAAGCATGCCGCTCCGCCTGCTTCCGGTGCTTCATCTCCACCGCCGGTTGCTCTTTGCTATGTTTCCTCGACGTGACGCCAGTCACGTTTTCGTTTCTATTTTCTTCGACTGAAAAATTTGTTGTCTGTCCAGGATCAACAGCAGCACACACAGCACCAGGAGCAGGCACCTCGCTGTTGTTTTCGTTGGCGTCAACATTATCTTCATGAACAGAGACCGTTCTCGCGACGCAGATTTCGCCTGGTGCCGTCGGTGCGGGTGCCGCGCATTGCTCTTTTACAACCACGTCTCCTGCGCCTTGCAAGTTGGAAGCCCCATCTTGAGCCACGATCTCCACCTCTGCGTCTAGCCGGTGAGCGTAGCCATGCCCGCCCGGATCGACGTCCTCGGCGAAGCCGAAGCTTTCTTGCACGGGAATGGTGCTACAGAAGGACGACTCATCCGCGGCCGCCGGCGAGCGCATCGACGAAGAGGAAGTGCCACTGTTTGCCAAGCCGGGTGGGGAGCCGGAGTTCAGCGATGCGAGAGCATCCATTTCCAGTGTTTCTTTCAACGTCGGCACGTACAGGACTGGCCGAAAGAACGCAGCAGTGGATGTTGCAGCGCCGTTACTCGTCTCTATGATTTGGCAGGACTTTTGGGACGGCGCATGCAGTTCTGCCGAAGCAGATGATGAATCCACTTGTTCAGCGAGGGTCTCAGCTGCTGGCGCAGCCACCGATCCTGCTAAAGTCGTCGTCGCTACGGAGGGTGCGGAAGCACGCGTTGGACCCGAATATCCCGCGCCGGCGCTGGACCCCGTATCTGATCCAGCTCCTCCACCACCAGTAATTCTTGCGAGTGGCTGATCGTGTTCATGGGGATTATTTAGCACTGCAGCAAGAATTTCAGCGCCGGGGACGGTCGCCGTTCCTCGAGTTTGACGTTGATACTGCACAGATGGTTCTTTCGGTGGACCATAAAGAGGTCGCTGCTCGACGTGTTGTGGCGCACTAGTAATGTCAAGGAAAACACCAGTGCCTGCACTAGGCGCAGACGGCGCCAGACCTGGTGTCGGCTAGATCCCGGTATAAACCAGCGGGAGCGGCTGCGAAAACGCAGGAGGCATCAAGGTCGGCTGTTGCAAAAAGGGCGGCTGAATCATGCCAGGCCGAGACGAGAGGCACCGGGAGCCACTCCCAAAAGGACCCGGCGCCGACGATGCAACGGTCGAAGAACTGCCACCAGGGCCTGAATAAACTTGCTGCGTCTGCTGCATTGGAAACCGAAAGAAACCACTTCCACCCAGAGAGGCAAAGTTCGTAACTTGCTCTGGAACAGAAGGAGTGCTTGCATTCCCATTTACAAATCCTGCAGACGCATCAGAAGAATGAAGATGCGCTTGAACGTGCGATCCTGTTGCTGTCGCGCGTGCGTGTAGTCCATTATGCAATTGCAACGTATTGCGCCCTCGTGGTGCTCCGTGTGTCATGTGGGGCTCCTGTGCGCCGCCTGGGCGGTCGAGAGTCGTTGTACTAGTTGTCGTGCGCCTCAGTTCGTCGTCGTCGTGGTCCTGCTCCTGCGAGGTTGAACTTGAGGAGCTCGTGTTCGAGCTTGCAGCCAGACTCTGCGGACTTTTCCCGTGTCGGCCCTCTTGTTGCAGCGTTGTCCTCGTCGAAACGTCGTGTGCAGGGCTCTCACTTTCGGTCGTCGTATACCTATGCATTGATTATGATTTTTGAAGTAAAGCAAAATATGAACCCTAAACAAGATTTGAAACCCTAGACCCCTATCTGCGTCGGCCGCTGCTCTGGGCCAGTACGTAGTATGGAAAGTTTTTCTATTTTTTCGAATCAATACATCAAATCTTCTTCAGTCCGACTCGTTCATCAATCTCACCTGATTGACTCAGCCGGCTCGACGACCCTGACGCGACTCGACGATTTACAACTTCTTGATGATTTCGCTCCATTGCGATTATCGTCAATGGAAGACTTGAGTACGGAGCGCCGCGGCGTCGAAGTCACGACGAGCGGCTGCCTTTTCTTCAACGGCGGGGTCTTTAGAATTTGACTTTCCGATGGAGTACTTGCGACGCGAGCCTGTTCAGCAGCGTTTTGTATTTGTTCGTGGAGACCATAGCTACTCTTATTCGCATTCGTTCTATCTGCTCCTCGTACTTCTGACACGGCCGAGTGCTGCCTTTTTGCCTCGGCATCCCCGTCGATCTCGATTTCGGTTGCGGTTCGGTGAGACAGCATGACCGGTGGTGGCAGGGTCGTAACGGAATCGCGCAGACCACCAGAATTCGAGTGTGTGCGAGCCGAACCCGCGTCGCCGACGGACAACGGACCAGGAATGCGTGTGAAACGCGCAGGGATCGCATCGACGGTAGATCCGCTGACTCTTCCCGTATTTGCAGCAGGGACCTCCGCGACAGTGACAGTGAGGTGATTAGCAGGGCCATCAGCTGTGCGTGTGCCTGCAGGTCTTGTCTGACGAAAATTCCAATGCGCGTCCATGCTTCCTTTGGAGCTTTCCGAGGATGCCAGCCCGGGGGGCCCGCCGGTGGATGACGAACTGCAACTGCTGGCAGCAGACACCGATTCTGGCACACTCCCAGAGGACCCAGCGGACGAGGAGTGACCTCGCGCGGGCGCTGACGCTCCACCGAAAAATGCTGAAGCAGTAGCAGAAGTACTCGTCGTGCGGCATGAGAAGGAAGTCCTCGTCGCTGGGGACTGGCGTCGTGCTGGGTAGAAGTGCTGACGTGCTGGTCGTGTGCGGCCGCACTATTGAGGTCGGCATCTATGCCCCCTCCGCGCGCCGAGGACCGGTTGGAGTAGTTGGAGTGCGCGAGGCCACCACTGCTACCGAAATTCGTCATTTGGCTGTAGTTGACGAGCGAGTCGGTGTTGAGACTGGACGCGCCGGGCGGATTGCTGTCGACGGAAGAGACCTCGCTCTGCTCTTCTGAAATGCGGCCCATCACCATCGAAAATCTGGCGATCGGGGAAAACACATTAGGCTGCTGTTGATGCGCAGGCGGAATTACGGAAGGAGGTGCAGCCGGCATGCCATGATCATGTGGCAGTAACGTCGTTGGCACCGGTCCGGTCGGCAGTTGGCAGCGTGGCTGAGAAGATTGACGAGCCCGTGGCGGGGAGAGAGTTTCATCTTGACCTTGGTCGTCCGAACTAGCTGGCGGGGTCGAGAGCTGCGGGGAAGTCACGTTGCATTCCTCGATTGTAGCAGGCCGCCCCCGCAGCCGCAGGTGTTCGGGGGCACCTCCTGCAACCTCAACGGGATCACCCTTGTTCGCTCGTCGGCCATTTTTAGCTGGCGGAAACGTAGGCAAACTCCGTGGCGTGACGGTCGTACCGACTCCAGGCGCCGCTGCGGCTGCAGCGTCCTGTGGTTTTTTATTTGCCTTTTTGCTTCTACTTCTCCGACGAGAAGACGAGGAGGAGGATCTATTGGCTTGCTTCCTCTCAATCCGGCCTTCTGCTTTGGCGCCTACTTCCGCTCTTGGTGTCGCGTGCGAGTCCACCATTCGCCCTTGCTGCTGAACAACATCACGAAAAGTCGAGATTGGCGGCGGTGGCGGGTGTTGGTGGAAAGATGCCGAGGCGGTTCTCCATCCGGTAGTACCAGTGCCACCTAGTTGTATACCTACATCAACATCTCCCTCCACCGCCACATCTTCATAATTTACGCGACGGAGCTTCATCCTAGTGCTTTCGTTTCCGTCTTGTTTTGAGCTCGATGAGGAACTCGACAGGGAAGGACTACTGGTATTTAAAATGTTGGCAAAAGCAGCTGCTGGCCCCGCCGGCCTCGGCCGCTCTACTTCTTGCAAATAACGGCTACTAGTAGAGTTTGAGTTCGTTGACCTCGACGCATGTCCTTGTTGCGCCGCCCCATCTGCGGCAAAATAGGATTCTCTGAGATCGTTCGCATACCTTGGAGGTCCACCTCGTGCACGTGCTGCCGCTCCTGCTGCTTCGTCGTCTGATATCCGCAAGTCATCTTCTACTTGTTGAGTTCTTACTACTTCTTTCGTCACACACGCAGCTGCACCGCGAGAAGCGTTGCTGCTTTGGGTTCTTGCTGTTCGTGCGCTAGAGCCGCTCAATGTGGACATGAAATTTCGCAGATCACTAGCGATCGATCGGTTGTGTTGGCTGCAACGGAGACGACCGCTGTGTACCGTCGAACTGGCCGAGCAGCTGGTCTCCCTCGAACTGCTTGCCGCCTCTTTCATGATTGCTGGTTCGGTCTCGCGCACCTCCCGCGCCTGCAGCTCCGACCAATAAAGCCGGTGTACTAGTTGTAGAAGAAGTGGTTGTACTAGTAGAGGCAGTGCCAGTGGCAGTGCAGTTATAACCAAAATTACGAAGGTCTTCGAGCTCCTTGTAGTCTGCATGTGTTAGACGAGGCGGCGCCGGGACGGGACTTGGTTTTGCCTTGTTTGATGCGGTCTTGGTATGCGTACTATGCTGAAGAGATGCCAACGGTTTGCTACCTGCTGGTTCCAAATTCAACTGCCTCTTGTGCTGCTGTACCATCAAGTCTCGGAGGTATCTTTCGTGCTCGTCCTCTGCGTCACTCGCTGCCGGCGGCTCTGCTCCGTGCCTGCCTTCCTTGAGAACTACGGTGCCCGAGAGACAAGAAGAAAGCTCACGCGAGCCTTCATTTTCTGCTGTCAAGACGATCTTGTTCGCTGCGAGTTGCTTTCCACCATTCTCAAGAAACAATGTGTCCTTAGTCGCAGAAGACGTGGAACTGATTTGAGTTTGAGTGCTGGGGATGTTTCCCGGTGTTTCAAAATGACTTGCCGATATCAAAGTATTTCTGACTCTGCCATTGCTAGTAGGTTTGGATTTTTCCATCTTCATTAATGAGGATGTTGGTGGATACATCTTGAACTACTAAGAACTTCGACTGCTTCTTCAAATTATGCGTAAGTACTGGCTCAGTATGTTCCATATACAACACGCCTCCTTGTCCTTGTTCTAGTTGTACAACTAGGAAATAGTGGCGGCCTTTCGTCACTTTCTTTCAACTTTCTACAACATCAATCTTCAGCCACACTACATCAGCATTGCAATCAGAATCACCCTTGCGCTGCAGCCGCAGGATGTTGTGCCGCTAGAACGGCCGCTGCAACAGCAGCACAGAGACAGAATCAACAAAACCATACATGCTCATAAATCATTTCTTGGATCTGGTCTGTCTTCAGTTGCTTTGTCTCCAAAGCTGTGACACACATCTGAGTGACTCAGTGCGCACTAAACATCTATCTTCTACTTCAACCGCTTAGTGCTCATAGTAAAATCTTCACGACCGCATCCATGCATTGTACACGACAACGATCGGATCCCTGTCCGCACGATCATGTATGATCAAAGAATTACCACTGCTTATCCATGTTTTCCTGAGCTTCACATGCTACCTACGTCACCTTGCGCAAGCAGCACCAAGCAAAAGTACGCACGAGAACGCCGGTAAAAGCCTGTCAATAGCAATCCTTTCGCATTCATCGCTCGCCCTATCATGATCCACACACATGCACAAAATGATCGCGTCGACAATGAAATCGATCCTTTGTCTTACTTTTGCATCTTTGATGGTTCACGTTCATGAAATCGCGACGAGAAGCGAGCTCCTTTTTACCCTTGCCTCCAGGTGCTGGCGCTGCCGCAGATCCCTCTTCATCAACGATCCACCGGCACTGCAACTTTTACTTTTTGCAGACTACCACCTGTACAAGCTCCAGAAAATAAGCGATATCGCATTTCAACACTTCATCATGCGGGGAGGGGAAACGCATACGCAAGAACTGTGAATCATTGAGCCGGAAAGTGATCTTCTTCTTTATCTTCAAAGATGATCGTCAACACGACTGCAGACAGCAAATATGATGTTTTGTCGAAGTGCATAATCTACGAGACGATTATCTTTATCATTTTCTTTTTCTACAGCGTAAATTTCAAGAAGTAGACTCTCTGTCGACGTAAGTTGTACAACCGCATTTTATTGCCGCAAGCATCCGAGGAAGAGTTGGTAATCAGCTCAACACGATCAAGTTGGTGAGTCTTGTTCTGTCCACCGGCGACGTCTTCGTCGCACTGGGGCAAAGAAATGCCAGCTGCAGCAAAAGGCTTGTTTAAAATAAATCGCCTACTGCTACCCTTGAGTCTTGGCAAACAGTTCCTAAATTGCACTTCAATTCTGCAACCCGGTGGCGTTGCTTCGATCTTTTTACAAGATGAAACGTCCCAGCGGAGTGTCTTTTGTCATAATTGGAAACTACTGAAACATTCAGATTGAATAGCGATAGCGAAGATCATCTCGCGGCGTGCGGTAGTGTTTGCGCAGGTAAAAAATGCGCTAAACCTAAATTGGACTGACTTTGCGCCAGTAAATAGTACCATCTCACCAATACCACTCTGTCTCAAATATTAATGTCCTCCCGAAATACTTAGAATCCGTACAGGTACACTCGATGTCAATGTATCCATACGTAAGAAGCAAAGTGTTGGAGAGGACTCCTCTGCTGGTGTCGCATTTGCATACGACTTCACATCATCATATGTTTGAATTTGCTTTCAACAACAACATCAGCGCTACTTTACTATGTTGTAGCTGGAAACTTTTTTATGCTATCTACCCCTGCCCCAACCCCTGCCCCATCCCCTGTCCCAGCCACTTCCCTAGCCCCTGCCCCAACCCGGGGCAGGCCCTGAACCCAGGCCCCCACAACCCTAAGTGCCCTCGGCTTCCATAATCCTGAACCCGAAGCCCCTAAAGCCCGGAGCCTCCTACACCCGGATCCCCCTAGAGCCTAACTCCGCCGCTGCGAAATCTCTTCCAATTTCGGCGAAGCTAACAAGATGAAAAAACCAGCAGCAGAAAAACCAAAAAAAAAGAATCCCATCCGCTGCCGAGTCTGCAAACCTGTCAGACTTCGCGAATTTAGTGAACTCGCGGGAATTTGTTTCCGCTTCTGAACCCAGCGAAGGTCGGCAGATCAATCCGAATCATCCAACTCGAGGACGGAGAGGATTTTCGCGCCGTTTTCCCATTTGCGAAAAGAAAACAAAAAACAGCGCCAATCATTTTCAAACTCCGCAAAGCATTCCACTTTGTTGATAATATGCAACAAAATGCAAAGCCCGGGCCGGATGTTTCTGGGCTTCGCCATGAAAGTCCCCCGCCTTTTCGAATTCGACAAAAGCCCGAGAATACGCACGGCAAACCCAAAAAACACCCCAAAAAAAAGCGCGCCCCTAAAGCAAACCCTAAGCCGCCCCCGGGTCGCAGGAGGGCCTCCAGAGTAAAATGCGGCCAAATGGCTCCGGATCGGTTTTGGGGTCTGGCAAGTGCAGGCGGCGGCGGCAAACTTGGCGAATTAGGTCGACCCCGCGCCGGGCGGCGGCGGCGGTGCAGCCGCCCGGCGCCCAATTTCCCGCGGTCGCAAATGCGCCCGGTGTGCTGCGCTAGCGCAGCAAATCAGACCGCCGCCCGCCGTGCCTGTGCGAGTTTCCGCCTGGGCCGTGGCCTGGAAGCGCAAGCCTTCCGGGCGGCGCGGGGGCCTTACGAGCCCGCTCCCCGCCTCCTTCTCACATTCTGCGGAAGGGCGGGACCGGCGGGGCAGACTGCAACCCGCGGACGCGCGCAAGATATCGAAGCGCGCCGTCCCGTTCTTAGCCGGCCCGCCCCCCATAGTCTTCGCCGGCTCGGCCCCCCTTCGGCCTTTTCGAGCGGCGCGGCCGGGGCCCGGCTCGCACAGAAAGAACCGGCGCCCGGCCCCGATGGAGCGCGACGACAGGGCGAGCCGCCTTTGGTTTTGCGCACTGACTTCATCGGCGGAGGCGGCCCAGAGCCGTCCCCGCAAGAGTAGAGCATGGCGGGAACTCGCGCGGTGGGTTTATGGGCATCATGTGGGCCAGGCATGCCGAACCAGGCGCGGGCAGAATTAGGAAAGGGCCCACACACTTTAAAGCAATAGCTCCCTCTTGATTGAGGGGGATCAGTTGTCGCCCTAGAAGATAGGAGGGCCCACCCGGTGTGAGGGTCCATTTTTTTCTTGATTTTAGCAAACTGCACAAACTCCAAAAGCGCTGGACATTTGCAAATGTGGAACCCAAAAGTGTCAAAATCCTCCCAGATTTCACCAGTAAACCTGCAATAACTGCGAAACTGGCCAAAACTTTTTTGACAACAACTTCTACGGGAACAATAAAGTTTTGCCAAGGTGAAGCAGGAATACGGGAAATTTTGGATTTGGTGGATATCCTGCGGCTAAGGCGTCCGCTGTGGCTGTACTCGGGTGACCGTGTGGCGTGGCTGTACATACACCACACCGCACCAAGGAAGCAGTTATTCGGGGCACTCACTCAGAAAGGTGGGCCAGGTTTGGCATCTCTTACGGGAGAGCGCCATACTTGGTATGCGGACGGTACAAGCATCCGGTGCTACACGGACAACATCAAAAATGGTCCAGATACCGCGGGAAAGTTTTTCCCCCTTGCCACCGAATTTCCCGCGCGAAGATTCTGGCAAGGTGAAAGGAAATTGGAAATCGTAGAAGAACGGGGCGGCCTGCAGCGGTTTGCGCGACAGCTGCAGGGAGAAGAGCCAGCGTCGGGGGTATCGGGAAGTCAGGAAGAGTCACAATAAATCTTTTATTGATGTTTATAAAAAGTCTCTATTCTTTTCAGGGAACAACTTCAGGCTTAACAATTAGAAGAGAAAGAGAAGAAGTGATCAATTCTTTTTGAAAAGATCCAGATGTGAAGATCATCTTCGTGCTTATTTTTCTGTGACAAAAAGATGAACTCTTCAACAAGTTACTCAGAAAGGAAAAAGAAGACGTCTTTATCATCGGTAGAAGCGTCTGCTCATAAAAAGGTCTACACTTCCCGCGTGCGAACATTGGACAGATCTTAACTGCTGTCTCATTGGTTGGTGGTTTTGGTGGTCGTACTTGTTTTTTGCTTTTATTATGAAGAATTTCTTTTCAGGGAAAATCATTTTCAAACGGCTGTATCTTTCTTTAGGCGACAAAAAGATTTAAGATTGAAGTAAAAACAAAAAAATGAATCAACGCTACTTATTTGAAACAAGCGACACATCTCTATTGCAGTCATTCTTTACACCCTCTTAAATAAAGCGACTATTTACAGCGACAACTTCAAAGCGACCCTTTAAGCGACATTTTGAAAAAAAGCCTTTCTTTGCTGTATCTCGAAAAGACACTCTAAGATTAGCTTAATCTGACTCCTTCCTGCACGATGCCGCCGAAGGCAAAGGCCAAGCCCAAGGCAAAGCCGCAGGTGAAGAGGCAGCCACGCAACCAAGGACTGCCTCCAGGACAACAGGCGCTGCCGAATCAGCAGGAACAACAGCCGCAACAGCAGATAAATAACGCTTTTGGTCAGTTCCAGAATCCTGAGGGTTTTTTCCCTATATTGGGTCCGAATGGAAATCTGATAGGGATTCAGCAGCTGGCTCCGGCTGCTCCTGCCATCGCCAACCCCGGGGCTAAACCGAAGGCGGCCAGGGGAAGACCGCGTACGTCTAGTGGACATAAAAGACAGCTAAAGGCAAAACGGCAGGCGAGGTGGAAGGAAAAGAAATTCGGGAAGAAGCAGCCGAAGAAGAAAGGAAAAGGGAAAAGGCAA